GGTCGGTGTTTTCTATGAATCTTTTTAAGGGTACCTATTATGTTAAGTATGTCACCTATGCACATATTTAATAAGTCAATATTGACATTAAATTTGCGAGAACGGGTTGCGTGATGACACCATCCCTACAGGTGTCAGTGCTACCTATGCCGGGGATTTTATATTGGCAGTTCCCGAGAGTCTCGCCCCTCATTCTGTATCTCAGAGTCAAAGACGTCACACACAACAGGTAGAACATGTGCATATGCAGTGTTATGGTAGACTAACACTGAGCTGACATTGTTACAGCTTGTGTTTTTTTTAGTTTGTGATCTGATTAAACGACACTCGCAAAGAAAATTGTTCTCGTTGCTTTAACAGTTCGTTTTATATCATCGTTCTAGATATCGCATCAGTTAATGACTTCACGCACGTAGTGAAGAATAATGCATATATATAATGGAGCTAGTCTCAACTCACATTTGCGTTGCTGACAGCGTAAAAACCAATTTTCTAGGAAAGATTTGGCATAATCAGACATGTCAAACATGATTCCCACGGGCTGCATGCTGACCTTTTCAAGCACACCTGCGGCCCGCGCAGAGAATACTGTAATTTGGTAATTTAACACCCAAAATTGCAGTTTTTATCATTTAAACTATCACCTTTTAATAGTTTTCAAAAGAAAAAAAAGAAACACGAATGCAGCTGTGAGGCAAGCGCGTTAAGACTTTAAAAAAAACTGTCAATCATCAAGACAAAACACTAAAAATGATTGAATAATCGTAAATCAATGTTCATTTTGAATTGTTGTAATTTTTGCACAATGTATTTGTTGCTGTTGCATAGAAGTCTATTTTGCCTTCTAAAATTTCGTTTTTTTTTTCTTTTGTTAAGTTAAACTACTTGATTACTTTACATTCATAAATGTGGGTAGCTGCTAAACCATTTGTATGCACATTGTATGTTTCCAAGTTTAAGTAATAAAAATATTCTACAATAATTTTTATTAAATGACTTCAATTAGTTTGACCAGACTTCAATTAGCTGTGGTGTGTGGTCCTCATGACAACACAAATGTGGCCCATATGGCCCTCGGGGGACCCTCAGTTGTGGTGTGTGGCCCTCATGACAACAAAAATGTGGCCCATATGGCCCTCGGGGGACCCTCAGTTGTGGTGTGTGGCTCTCATGACAACAAAAATGTGGCCCATATGGCCCTCGGGGGACCCTCAGTTGTGGTGTGTGGCTCTCATGACAACAAAAATGTGGCCCATATGGCCCTCGGGGGACCCTCAGTTGTGGTGTGTGGCCCTCATTACGACACAAATGTGGCCCATATGGCCCTCGGGGGACCCTCAGTTGTGGTGTGTGGCCCTCATGACAACAAAAATGTGGCCCATATGGCCCTCGGGGGACCCTCAGTTGTGGTGTGTGGCCCTCATGACAACACAAATGTGGCCCATATGGCCCTCGGGGGACCCTCAGTTGTGGTGTGTGGCTCTCATGACAACAAAAATGTGGCCCATATGGCCCTCGGGGGACCCTCAGTTGTGGTGTGTGGCCCTCATGACAACAAAAATGTGGCCCATATGGCCCTCGGGGGACCCTCAGTTGTGGTGTGTGGCCCTCATGACAACACAAATGTGGCCCATATGGCCCTCGGGGGACCCTCAGTTGTGGTGTGTGGCCCTCATTACGACACAAATGTGGCCCATATGGCCCTCGGGGGACCCTGAGTTGTTGTGTGTGGCCCTCATGACAACACAAATGTGGCCCATATGGCCCTCGGGGGACCCTCAGTTTGACATTCCTGGCATAAACAACTTTTTAGGTGTCACGTGCTTATGTAGACAAGTTTAATGGGATTAAGTTCGCAGTAGAAATTAATTCCTTCATCCTTGGTGCTTTGTTAATGAGCATGATGCTGCTCCTCCTTACCCTATCCTTCCTCCTCCCTATTTCTTTCTCTCTTTCTCTCTCTTTTTCTCTCTTTCTCCCTAACCTCTAACGCTTTCAAATTATACTTTTTGGCACGGTGGACCTAAATTGACATGGGGTATTTGGAATTTCATTCTGTATAAAAAAATTCTGAATTCCACATCTTAAAGTCATAGGCCTCGAACGACGCCCCTTCTCTATGGTCACCCTGGCACCACTTCATAGGAACCTCGTCCTCGTTTATACTACTTCAAATGGTCATCGTTCTCGCTGGCACCACTTTAAAGGGCCATCTTTCTCGCTGGCACCACTTCAAAGGGTCATCCTCCTCGCTGGCACCACTTCAAAGGGTCATCGTTCTCGCTGGCACCCCTTCAAAGGGTCATCGTCCTCGCTGGCACCACTTTAAAGGGTAATCGTCCTAGCTGGCACCACTTCAAAGGGTCATCGTCCTCAATGGCTCTACTTCAAAGGGTCATCGTCCTCGCTGGCACCACTTCAAAGGGTCATCGTCCTCGCTGGCACCACTTCAAAGGGTCATCGTCCTCGCTGGCACCACTTCAAAGGGTCATCGTCCTCGCTGGCACCACTTCAAAGGGTCATCGTCCTCGCTGGCACCACTTCAAAGGGTCATGTCCTAGCTGGCACCACTTCAAAGGGTCATCGTCCTCAATGGCTCTACTTCAAAGGGTCATCGTCCTCAAAGGCTCTACTTCAAAGGGTCATCCTCCTCGCTGGCACCACTTCAAAGGGTCATCGTCCTCGCTGGCACCACTTCAAAGGCTCATCGTCCTCGCTGACTCGAACTCAAAGAGCCTTCGTTCTCCCACGCTCCACTTCCTCAAGGGTCATCATCCTCTCTCTGAAAGCTTAAATTGATTAAAGAAATCTTGGCGCAATCCTACGGTCTTTCGGCCACAGCAGATATGAGATGAACACAGTCTCTTTGGCCACACCTTCCCGAAGCCAGCCGGGGGAAGCCCATATTACATGCTTTGCTGATTTAAATGACGCAAAATGTGCGAAGGGAATTTCTTTATTTGCCTCAAGATTTTAGTTTCTGTCAGACTGTCAGACACATAATGGTCAGCTGTTAGTCAAGCCATGGTCAGCTGTAAGTCAAGCAATAGTCAGCTGCCAGTCAAGCAATAGTCAGCTAATATTCACAAAATGATAGACTATTAAAACTCCAGGATCAGTACCATCAACACCAAGTTATGCAATCAATCAGAACAAGATTAGAACAGTACACAAGCTATGATCACCGACCAGCCTACGATCTTGTTATACTACGAGGCACATACCACGATCTGGCTATTCTACCAGGTACACACCACGATCTGACTATACTACCAGGCACATACCCCGCTACTCCTTAGATCATGACATACTCAACGTGTCATTGAGTGCATCACCAGACACTCCAATATCAAATGGCGGTCATAGCACTGCGGGCCGCCTCCATGAGAGCAGCATCACCCAATGGACGGATAAAGTATTTACGGAGCAATATCTCCTGGCGTAGCTCCGTCTCGTTAACTTTGGAGTTTCCATTAAGGTAATGGCTTTTTGTGCAGCTATTGGCCAAACTTGGAGACCGCCGGGCCACTTGCTTTTGCCACTTGTCAGCACCATTTGACAAGCATGAAATGTGTAGTGGTTTTTGCCTAACGAGGAATGTTCGAACTTTGGCAACTTAAAGTGACGTCTCGAGATCGATGTTGTTGACTTGTTCGCAAAACCGGTAATTTGACGGTGTCTTAATTGTCACTAATGTACTGGAATCTTGACGTTGCTGATTGCGTGGACATTGTGGGTGTATTAAGTGGGAATACATGTTGATTTGTGTGTGTGAATTTTTTTCGATATGTGCTCTGTAGTGATGTCTGGCAACCATTGTGGAGAGATCTTACGAGGCAATAAGGGAATTTATGATCTTAAATAATTCCTCTCACCGCCGTACACACTCTACCATCGTCCTCACGGCGTTGGTAAACTCAACAGGTTATTACAAGTTTACACTATATCTCACTTTTTTCGTTTTTATCGCACTTCATAGCGTTCTTCGCATCTCTCAACTAAGCCGGCCGTCCCTAACCCAGTAGAGTATCTTCGCTGGGTGAGTAAATCTATCGTTCATGAATATAACTTTCTTCACTGGTATCTAAACTCACTAGGCGGCAGTTTTTAAGTATCTTGTCACCTTAACCGTCACATATAACGCTTCACTACCGAGCTCGTTGCTTCCTCTGTGTGTACCCATTACATCTGTTTTGCGCGATTTGTTCCTCTGATGATCTCAGTACCATCAGATGCTTCCGGGACTAATTGGTCGTTTGTCTGATTCTAGCCAGGCACTCAATAGTTATTGGTGGACAACGTCTCTTCTAACCTCAACTGGACTAAGGTTCATCAACTTTCATTGTATCAAACCTCGATTCGGCTTCTCTCGACACCTTGGCTTGTATTTTACGAGCTCATACATCCTCCGCGTCGCGTCAGATGGCTGTGGTGGTGAAGTAGACAACGAAGGAGCAGACCACTGATCCTACCAACACTTGCGGAGCGAGGATGAATATTTTTCCGTTAAGCGAGGATGAATATTTTTCCGTTAAGCGAGGATGAATATTTTTCCGTTAAGCGAGGATGAATATTTTTCCGTTAAGCGAGGATGAATATTTTTTCGTTAAGCGAGGATGAATATTTTTCCGTTAAATACCGTCTGCTGTCTCAGGTTACGTAGCAACCACCAATCACATAACTTCGGCTGTGATACCAGCTTTCCCGTGGTGCTAAATACATTCTTCAATGGTTGTCTCTGGACTACTTGAACGCTATTCGTAGCGATACATGTGTTTTTTCTTGCTTGTGAAGAAAAACACAAATATTATCATTTAGACAGAAACCATCTTCATCCTTGACGACAATATTGACGAAATGCCTAGCTTATATGCACTCTTAAATGAAGGACTAAACGACCCTTGGACTAAACTAAATAAGGAGAGCATCATGGTACTGGAGGCGTCACGGGGCTAATTACCGCAAACATAATGCATTGACTCACGAGGAAGGACGTCGACATCTCGTCTCAAGTGGGACCACGTCTTTTTGAATTTGTAAGAAGCCTCTAAGCCCCTGAGATGAGATCATTAGGCACGAATTAGTGATCGTAAAGAGGTTTCCAAAGAATTTTCGCCACCTTCTTCCAATTTACATTTTTCTCTTCTACAGCTAACGTTCACATACGTTTGTCATCAGTATTCTCATTGACTTTCTCACCGATCTCCTTGCTGTGCTTCTCTACCGCTTCTAAAAGGTACTAATTGTAGACTAAGTTTTGTTTCCATAGTCTTTAATATCTTCTCATTCACTGCTTTTTTGTACGCTTAACTAATCTGTTTACATGCCTTTTACCTGCATAATACTAGAGACATATTGACGTTCTGTATTCACAAAATTATCTGAGTTTTCTTAACATAATCCGTCATGGCCAGTTCGTCAACATCTGGCAGGTCCACCTGTTCTTTTACCAGCTCCTGCAACTCTGCACACTTTCTTGCAATCCTTAACTAAACTTTTATATCAACCCCCCCCCCCCATCTCGTGATTAACAACTATGTAACAAATCCAACCTTCTAGTTTAACAAAAAAACGTAGGCCCCCAAGCAACCAGCCTAACCTATCAAGTCCGATGTATTGAAAATGTACATATTTGTGAGCCGTTAATTATTTTTAATTCGTTGCAGTGTTGGTTTCGATAACGTAAACAAACGCGAGATATTACCTGAGAGAAACAATTGTTACACCCGCCACGTGTTACTGCTTCCTCGCTCTTTGTACTCTTTTATTGACAAGACTTTCTCTTATCTTATTGTCTAAACTCTAAAACCATTCCCAGGTGACATAGAGAGAGAGAGAGAGAGAGAGAGAGAGAGAGAGAGAGAGAGAGAGAGACAGAGAGAGAGACAGAGAGAGAGAGAGACAGAGACAGAGAGAGATAAGATATATATAAAATATGGAAAAGAATCGGCTCAACTACCTAACCAACCCCCACAATAAAATAATAATCAACAAGCAAACAACTCACATATCAATCAGGAAACTAATCAAAATCATTACTGAACAGCCGTCCAAGGAATCGTCAACCTTCCAGATAACGAATCATTTACTATCCAACGAATTACAAAATTAACTTGCGAAGTCATAAGCAAATCAGGATATACCTAAGAAAACGAAATTTGAATTGGTAAAAGTCAACCAGCCCATTGACCAACTACAGACTTTCTCATCAAATCACTTCATCAACAAAGAATTTGTTACGAAATAGTGGCAAGCCAAATTATCTTCAAAGCAGCGAGTCCACCTACTTACAGAGCTCTACTTTCCTGGACCTAGATTCACCAAGCTCCATGTATTTCTTCGTAAGTCGGTTTGCTACGAAGGTTCCTAAGTATGCGCTAAGAAGATGCTTACGTGCGATTCAGGAAGGTATTCTTACAAGGATATTAGGGTTTTGGGTCTGGTTCACCTGCATGTCGACAGAGGGCACTACTGTGTTTCGTTTGGCCAATCACAGAGTAGGCAACATTCTTCATCTTGAAGATTTAGCCAATCACGACGCTGGCTTATCGGAGCTCACCTGCCCCCTATTTACGTCGAATGTTCTTATAAAATTAGTATATTTCGAAGTAAAACTATGTTTTTTCAACTTCTACGCCAGCACCGACATTGTAGTAAACAAATATGTTACATTTGTTGTTTACCTACGTAATTCTAAGAGATACTGTGTAGCTGTCCTTGTCGCACGGAAGATGCGGACAATTACTGTATACATTTACTGAATTTACCCAGGGCCACTAACTATCTAGTGGCCTCGACGAGGACAGAAAGCCGGCGGCTTGTTAAAGGTCCCGTCAACTGTCTTAATGATATTTTTAGCTGGATTTTGGCACTTACGACTTCAGCGGGTAGGTTGTTCCATGGGTTTATAACCTTCTTGGTGAAAAAAACATGTTTTCAGTCCTACTTGAGAGGACATACTCTCCAACACTATACCTGTGATTGGCCTGTTATCAGTGACTTCAGACCAAATGGGATGAGGTACTTTGAGCTCTGTAATTACTTCATACATTCAGGAATATTGGAAGATATACTTAAAATATCATAAAAGACATATTTACTACAAGTTTCATGCAGAGAATGCACATATAACTAACACGAAGATTCACGAGATTCGCCAACTAAAATCTTTTGTTTATTTTAAAATCGATCCTCCGTGTTGTGTAGTAGAGAAAAATTGAGTTATATCCAGTTTACGTAAAGCTACGAGTGGTCTAGGGCAACCTTAGCCGACGGAGCATACTTACGAAGGTGTTCCTTCTTAGTGAGCCTACCTGGATACCGACGTAGCCGCTACGAAGGCGCTAAGAAGAAAAACATTCGTAAGCTGCTTCGTAAATCTGGCCCCTGGGCACTAGATTCATCTACCAAACACCGTCCACCCACTAGATTCATCTACCATACACCGTCCACCCATTAGATTAATCTACCATTCACCACTCACCCACTAGATTAATCTACCATTCACCGCCCACCTACTAGATAAATCTACCATTCACCGCCCACTCAATAGATTCACCTACCATTCACCGCCCACCCACTAGATTCACCTACCATACACCGCCCACCCACTAGATTCACCTACCATACACCGCCCACCCACTAGATTCACCTACCATACACCGCCCACCCACTAGATTCACCTACCATACACCGCCCACCCACTAGATTCACCTACCATACACCGTCCACCCACTCACCACTCCTGCCAGCCGCGTCAACACTGCACAAAGACCGTGCACTAATAGTCTCGTTGGACAACTAGGAAAGTCTCTCGCCACTTTTCTGTCCCTTAACTCTGTCAATATTGACACTTGAAGTTAATTCCCTAAAACCCTTCCACCGCGGTGGCCTCTTATTATTCTCCTTCCTCTCCTCTTCCTCCTTCTTCTCTCCATTTTCTTCATCCCTTCCTTTTTCTCCCGTGACTCCTGACCTTCAAAATTAAAGAGCTCCATCATTTCATTTCAATATTGTTTGCCACTTCGGTGTTGCTCGAGCATATTGGTGGTGGGAACATTGAGTAAACATAGCGAGTGCTCGCCAGGCATGTTTTGGTCAGATATCCTTGGTGTGTGTGTGTGTTCGCCTAATGGCGTCCGACACCAAAGATGTGTTCGTTATCTTGAATATAAGAGATGTATTCGTTATCTTGAACGTAAAGATGTATTTGTTATCTTGAACATGAAGGATGTATTCGTTATCTTGAACATAAAAGATGTATTTCTTATCCTGAACTTAAAAGATGTATTCGTTATTCTGAACATAAAGGATGTATTCGTTATCTTGAACATAAAGGATGTATTCGTTATCTTGAACATAAAAGATGTATTTCTTATCCTGAACTTAAAAGATGTATTCGTTATTCTGAACATAAAGGATGTATTCGTTATCTTGAACATAAAGGATGTATTCGTTATCTTGAACATAAAAGATGTA